TTGAGGAGGGCACCTTTTGGGATGAGCACTGGGTGTTGTATGGAAACCAATTTGACAATAAACTTCATATATAAATAAAAAAATAAAATAAAATAAATGTTTGGTAGAATTCACCTGTGTATCCACCTGGTCCTATACTTGTTTGTTGGTACTTTTTTGATTACTGATTCAATTTCGTTGCCAGTAATTGGTCCGTTTAAATTTTGTTTTTCTTTCTGATTCACATTTGCAAAGTTGTATGTTTCTAAGAATTTATCCATTTTCTTATAGGTTGTTCAATTTTTTGGCATATAATTTTTCATAATGTTCTCTTAGAATCTTTGCACTTCTGTCGTGTTGGTTGTTATTCTTCCTCTTCTATTCCTGATTTTATTTAACTCCTCTCTCTCTCTCGTCTGGCTAAAGCTTTATCACTTTTATTGATGTTTTCAAAGAGCCAGCTCCTGGTTTCATTGATCTTTTCTGTTGACTTTTAGTCTCTATTTCATTTTATTATTTATTATTTCCTTCATTCTACTGGATTTGGGCTTTGCCCTCTTTTTCTAACTCCTTTAGATGTAAGTTTGGGTTGTTCATTTGAGATTTTTTTGCCTCTTGATGTAAGCTTGTATTGCTAAAATCTTTCATCTTAAAATAGATTTTTCTGCCTCCCAGATATTTTGGACTACTGTGTTTTCATTTTCATTTATCTTTATGTATTTTTTAATTTCTTCTTTGATTTCTTGATCAACCCATTTACTGTTTGTGTTTATTGCAGCATTATTTACAATAGCTAAGATATGGAAGCAACCCAAGTGTCTACTCATAGATGAATGGATAACTAATAGGTCATATATATATACATATATACATATATATATAATATGTGTATATATATAAGAATGGGATCTATAATATATTTTATATATAATTATAATATTGCTCAACCATAAAAAAGAGTGAGAACTTGCCATTTGCAACAACATGGATGGACCTAGAGGGTATAATGCTACGTGAAATGTCAGTCAAAGAAAGAAAAATAACATTTAATTTCACTCCATAGATGAATGAAGAATAGGTCATATATATATATATATATATATATATATATATATAAGAATAGGTTATACAATACATAATATATATATATATATATATGCACACACACACACACACACACACACACACACACACACACATATATTACTCAGCCATAAAGAAGAATGAGAACTTGTCATTTGCAACAACATGGATGGATCTAGAGGGTATAATGAATGCTAAGTGAAATGTCAGAGAGAGAAAAATAGCATTTGACTTCACTCATATGTGGAATTTAAGAAACTAAACAAATAAAGAAGAGACAAACAAAAAAAGAGACTCTTAAATGTAGAGAACAAACTGGTGGAATCCAGAGAATAGGTTAGTGGCGAGATGGATGAAATCGGTGAAGGGAATTAAGAGTATCATTTTTATGATGAGCACTGAGTAATGTTCAGAATTGTTAAATATTTATATTGTACACCTGAAATTTATATAACACTATATGCTAATTATACTTGAATTAAAAAATAACAATAAAAACCTTCTTTACAGAAACATTGGAATTGAATTCCAACTTACTTCAAAAATTATTACTCAAGAACATATTTATGAAATATGAGATCTTTCATACGTAATAATGATTTTTGTTTTATTTTTAAACTTTAGAATAGTTTATACTATAGGTGACAAAAATATTACTTTGTGGAAGTATTGAGAAGTATCTTGCAACTTGCAGCCAAAGTATAACAGCTTTATTATTGTGAGGGTAAATAGATAATCTCATTTGTTTTAAATCTATGGTAAGAAGTATAGAGTTTATGTAAAGGAAATACTTATTAATTCTATAGAACAGATATATTTTCATCAGTAGAATTTTTTCTTTTTTCTCATATCAATTTTTAAAAATTCACCATTTAAGTCCAAATGTAATTGAGAGTAAAATACCTTGGTGACAAATGGTTACATGGAAGTGTTCTCAAACCATTAAGAAAAAAAGTAGGACATATATGCCTATTCAGTATAATCTTAATTTTGATGAATATATGTAATATGCAGAAGAAATGACTGGAATGAAATATACTATGATTTTAATAATAATTATTATTGGAATTTTGGGACTGCATATGGTTCCATTTTCGTTTATGCTATCTACATTTTCTAGAAAGCCTAAAGTGAACATATGTTACTTTTATAATATAATATACACAAGAAATGTAAAAAACTAGTCTCAAAGATTGTGAATAGCATTATTCAATCTTATGGGCATACTCATCCATTGACCATTGACTTGTCTCTTAAACAAATTTTTAATAATTCCCATTCATTTTTATAAAATCAAAGGTTTTCTTTCACTACCTAAACTCAAAGTTTTTGCAGCTCTCAGAAAGACTTGGGTCATTTGAAATTCATGTTTCTATGTAATTTTTCTCCTTGCAACATTCGTGATAATTTGTCAACTGGGAAAGAAAGCTACTGTTGTGCTATTTGAAACATACCCCCTGCTTTCTCCCATTAGTTAGGTAACATAAAGAGTTTTAATTGGTGTAAGACGTTGACAAAAAAAGGTGTGGGCATATTTCACCCAAATTAGACGCATGCCCTACTGGTGTCAAGAGAGACAGAGTTAGGCACAATACTGCCACATTAAAAAAAATGCTATAAAATTAGCATTCTTTGTTTATACTGTGGTAATTTACTTATTGTTTTTACAATTTAAATATCCTATCATGGACAAACCTGTTGTCTGTTACAAAATACTCACTCTATTACATTGATAGTGGAGTAATTCTTTTTTAAGTAAACTCAATTAAAGATGACATACTTGCCAGCTTGGAAGACAACAAAATTTCTACGTGAGCATTCCATGTTCTCCCTTCTCTGACCCACAATACCTTATCATTCTCTGTATTCTGGGGGCCTTTTTTTTTTTTTTTACAAGAACATTATTTTGGGGAGGAAAAAAATTATCTTTAAAAAGGGAACAATGCTTAAAACACAAAGACTTGGAAAAGTAAACATTAAAAGAAAGAAATAGATGTCTATTAGTTAGAAATCATTTATTGCCTCTATAAAACTTTAAATAAAAACCCTACAAAAGATCACATTACAGTGATGTGGTTTCAAGGTGGTAGTATATTTCAGAGGTAGTATCAGTAAAATGGGATGCAAGATCGCTTAAAGGAACTACTTAACAAGTTAATACAAAATAAAATTCCAATGCAGAGCAATATATACTAAGTATAAACTTTAATGGAAAAATCATATTTATTTTCAAGAAAATATTTTATTATCTTTTTCCTCTTAGCAAATCTGCTCTTAAATAATGGTTTGGTTTTGGCAATGGCATGCTGACTGCAGTCTCACAAATTAGTAGGCTTCTCCCTCATATTATCGCAGAGCATAGCTTGATATTATGAGTATGATAGTGTTGTCTGCCAAGGATAATGCCAATTTCAAAGATAAACCCATGTACTCATCTTTTAAATATTATAGTACTGATAGCTCCCTTAAAAGGCTAATAAGTCAGAATTTGGCATTTTTAGGACCTGAATGAAAATCTAGTATATATTTTTTAAATAGATAATATTCCTGGTACACCATCACTACAATGTGAAGGGAACATTTTCAGAATTTCTCTTAAAAATGACCATAAGTTATCAGGCTAAGATGAGGAAACTATTCCTAAGAAATGAGTGGAATTTCCCCTCTTCCCCCAAAACAGAAGGCAACAAAGTCTAACTTAGAGCCTAAAATTCTTTTAAATTCACTACTTATGTTTTCTCCTACAAACTTAAAGATGGTGGACTATGAAAGTGCCTTAAAATACATGCTGCTGCCTTTGGAAAAATGGCCTCTTCAACATTTTTGAAGTTTTGGTAGTATACAGAGCACAGGATGTGAGTGGTTTGCAGCATTTTTTTCTCCAACAATGATAAATGTTTTTATTATTATTACAATGGTAGCATAGAAGTCTCAATGTTGATACTTGATCTTACAACAAAACATTCCCATTTTTCATGAAAAGATCAATTTTCTTTTGAGGTTGTCCTTGCATATGCTAATTTTTCCATTCTCCAGCATCACTGCAGTTCTCGTTTTCTTGTGACTAACGTTAGCTTGGCTGAAATGAGGAAGGTACCTTCAAGTTATTTTTTAATACACATTTAAGGTAAGTGCCCTTATATATACTTTGTTGCTTAGAAACTGGTTGGTTATCCTAAGCTGAAAGCAGACATCAAAGTGTAGCTGAAGGAAAAACAAGTTTTTTCACCTTGGTATCCGTCTTTGTGAGAGATACTCCAGATAGTATGGTCTGCTTTAATGTGTCAAAGCCCAAAAGAAAGAAACACTAGCTGTTTTTCTCCCCCCAGTCATGAAAATATCACAAAAGCAGTCAAACTGATATGTTTTCTGCTTTAAGATGTCTCAAAAATTCCATCTATATGTGTTAAAGATATATTTTCTTCATAATACATTTTTAGTACTTGACCTTGGTATCTTTTAAAAAATCTGCAGTGCTTAATTTCATACTGTCAATTATGATTTTTTCTAGATACAGCTATTTCTTTTGGTTCCTGCTACAGAACAACTATATTTTGTTTTTAAAATGTTTAATTTTTTAAATGTTCATATATTTTTGAGAGAGCACAAACAGGGGAGGGGCAGAAAGAGAGAGGGACAGAGGATCTGAAGCAGGCTCTGCACTGACAGCAGTGAGCCCAATGTGGGGCTTGAACTCACAAACTGAGATCATGACCTGAGCACAAGTCAGATGCTCAACCGATTGAGCTACCAAGCTACCCATAAAATGTTTAATTTTATGAGAGTAAAATAAATAATTATGGTGCTGAAACACAAACCCCAAAACAAAAGGATTCTTAAGTGTACTGCTTCTATTTTAATGGAATTTTAAATAGGGACAAAGGAATCATTTATGTTTGTTCTCAAAATTGTAGATAAGATGTTTTTCTAGGAATTACACCTAACAGAACCTTTAAATCTATTAAAATTTCTACTTAAATAATTTTTATTAATATTCCTGAAAAAGTGAAAAGACATAATTCGTTTTGAAGTTTGTAGCTTGCCGAGTAGAAATCCAATGTCCCTATAGCAAAAGTTCAATAAGATTTTTTTTTATTTGGTGACTAACCGCTGGGTGTGACAAATGCAAACCATAAAGTTGAAAGATGTAGGAGAGAATGAGCTATCCTTACTTAGTGACAAGAAACAAATAAAAAAGAGTTTAAACTGAAGCAGAAGAAATTAGAGTTTAAAGATAAACTCAATGACGAGGAAGGAGCTCCTAGGAGAGACTTGAAAGCCTGGAATTTGTTCATTTTACCTTAAGAATGTTGTATATAGTAGGGACTCTTTATATCATGGAGGAATTGATGTAACTGCTAAATTTAATCCTAATGTCTGAGGTTCTTTTCAGCACTCTTTTTTGAATGGAATTTTACTTGTCAGCCAGAAGTACTAAGCATTATTTACAAAGAACCATATGGCTTCCAGCTAAAATATTTCTAACAAAAGAACCATAGCAGTAACATGGCAACAATAATAAATTACTGACAAAATGGAGGATTATCAATGAACCTTACCTATTTGTGTATGTGGGGATGGAGCATTTCAAGGTCAAAGACAGTCATGACTTCTTTTCTGTATTCATAAATTAGTATTTGTGAATTCCAAGATCAAAATTTGTTTTACTTACAAATTACAAAAATATATGACACAGAAACGTGATGACCAAAGCAGCCATGTAGCTACCTCATTAATCTTTTAGAAATAGACAGTAATTTAACCATGCAACACAAATCCACACAGCCAACTCACAAATACATGATGCTGTGTGGCTCAGGGAGAAACTGGTATTTTCCTTTCTATGTGTCTTGGTAATGCCTTCTGGTACCCCAGAAGGAATGGTCTGCAAAGAATCATCTACAGTGTGTAGCAATCTGGTACAACTGTGTAGCATGTCCATTTAAGAGTGTATTCATAGAATGGTATCCAGAAGGGACACATGGATGACCAAGTCAGTTAAGCGTCCAACTGTTGATTTTGGTTCAGGTCATGATCTCAACAGTTGTGAAATCAAGTCCCTTGTCTGGGCTTTGTGGCGGGCCTGGAGCCTGCTTAGGATTCTCTCTCTCTCTGTCTGCCACTCACTCCTTTCAAAAGAATAGTATCCAGGAAATTAGAACTGTGATTCACAACCATAGTGTGTATAACTTTTTTGGATATTATCCTTGGCTGATGGCTCTGTAGAAGCTTCACATGAGAATGAGGTAAATTTTGTGGCAAAGCTGAGTGACCAGATTAAAAAAGAAATCTCAGTGCCTTACCTTAACTTCCTGTTTCATAAAATGTAACTGAAAAAATATTATAAAGATAGTGATAAATGTGTAATATTTGTGCAACATTTCAACTAACTCAGTTACACAAATTTATTAGTGGAATGTGAATCTTATCAATACTTGCCATTTGCAACAATGAAGAATTCCCATTAAGACTAATTTTTTACAACATTTTGTTTCTGTACACTTAATAATTTATTCGACTTCATGTTGGTGAATTACTTTTCCATAGTGCTTTCCCCCTTCTCCCCAAATGTTTTGGTTAGGAAATGGAGGAATGCCATAAATTTACAATTATATACCAGTAATCACTTCAATTTTCAATCATTAACTGAAGTCAAATTCTCATAGGAGTTGGAAAATAAATCCCAGGACTCATCCAGGTAAAATCATTTTTAAAGTTTTTTTTTTTTTTTCAAATTTTAGTCCACTTTCCTGAGTAAAAGTGTATGTGGATATAGGAAAAGGTGAGAGAAGAAAGATGTAATGGCTACAAAACAAAACTAACCAAGCGTTAGTAACTTGATAAACAATGTTGAAATACCTTTATTTTTGTGTCTCTGGTCAAAACTATTACTAAAACTAAGATTCTTCTAAAAACCAAACAGATATTTCAGAAATTAGGCATTATGCATTTCATAGCTAAATTCCTAAAATTTAAATACAATTTTCACCAGAGTTTTACCAATTTGGAAAAAAATTCTCAAACACTGCTTTTAAATTTCACATACATTTTTTACACTGTAGCCATTATATCTTGTCCATTCTTCACAGGGCATGTCAGTTTCAACAATATGTTTTTCCAACTGAAGAATTTTGAGGCAACAGAATGCAGTTATCTTGAAATGCACACCCCTTAGCCAAAATGCTGTGTCATATATGCCCCCTCAAATTACAAACTGTCTGAGGCATTTTTCTCTGATAAAGAAGACACACTGAATGAGGTATCATCAGGCTCCGGCGAGGCATGGTTGAAATCCATCTCTTCTAATTCAGGAGGTAAATCTGACAGCAGTGCCTGAGTCAGAAAAATCAATTTTTAAAAATTAGTATGAGGACAAGTTTCCCTCCCCCCTCCCCAATTTTATGTTAATAGTTTTGGTTCTCTCTTGTTGATTTACCTTCATGAACTTAAAGAATGGAGCATTTCTCTTCAGGACCTTATACAATAGTTTATGTAAAAGAAAAACTTCATACAATATATTAAGAAAGTAACAAAATGCTAGATCCTGAGAATGTAAATTATGTAGAGTGAAACCCTAGGCAAAAGGGAAATCAGGAGGGAAATGAGCAACTATTCTGAACCAAATTCTCTGAAATATTTGAGATAAGTGATTTTCATACTAGTTTTTTTTTTAAATATGAAATGTATTGTCAAATTGGTTTCCATACAACACCCAGTGCTCATCCCAACAGGTGCCCTCCTCAATGCCCATCACCCACCCTCCCCTCCCTCCAACCCCCCATCAACCCTCAGTTTATTCTCAGTTTTTAAGAGTCTCTTATGGTTTGCTTCCCTCCCTCTCTAACTTTTTTTCCCTTCCCTTCCCCCATGGTCTTCTGTTAAGTTTCTCAGGATCCACATGAGAGTTAAAACATATGGTATCTGTCTTTCTCTGTATGGCTTATTTCACTTAGCATAACACTCTCCAGTTCCATCCACATTGCTACAAAAGGCCATATTTCATTCTTTATCATTGCCAAGTAGTATACTAGTCTTAAATTCCCACTGATCAGTGCTAAAGGGCTTTAAAATTATATTCCTTATTAAAATATTCCTGCCCAATTATGTTGTCCTTTAGAGAAAAACTCATTTCACAAGAGTATTTTGTACTTCAGTGGGAGAAAGAACTTATCAATTAGGAGTAAAGCTCAGTTATTCTACTTACTTTTTTACATTTATTTTGAGAGAGAGACAGAGAGAATGAGCAGAGGAGGGGCAGAGAGAAAGGAAAAGAGAGAATCCCAAGCAGACTCTGTAGTTTCAGTGTGGAGCCTGGCTCGAACTCATGAACCATGAGATCATGATCTGAGCCAAAACCAAGAGTTGGGTGCTTAACTCACTGATCCACCAAGGCACCCCTCAGTTATTTTACTTTAGACTAAACATTAACAACTTGAAAATTCCAAGTATTTTTTCTTTCTTTTCTTAGGCTATGCCCATAGATGGCCAAGCATTCACTAGGGCACAGCTGAGCAATTCACAGCTGTGAAATTATGTATCTAAAGGTCTGCTCATTTCTCTATAAGTAATTAGGATAAGCCAAGAGCCATGAACTAAGCTTTGTCATGGTATAATTGTTTCATCTGGAGTTACAGAACATGCATCCATACTAGAGAAATAAATGATTAATAAAAATTTATGTGGTTGATAGTGCTAATGCCCACCTGATCATAAAAAAACTGTGAACTAAATGATTGATTTGAAGCTCCCAATACTAAAAATAATGTAGCATATATGGGCAATTTGAGATAGAATTACTTGTAGTGTGGGATTTGGATGCAGTAGTAAACAAAGACCAGGGAAATGGGAACATATGCAAATTTGCGACTACTGAATTAAGGAATAGAAAGATAGGGAATGTTGGAGAAGTTATTAAATCCACTGTTGAAATAAGACATATTCTATTCTCTTTATTAAAATAAGTGACATCTATACATTTTGTCTCATAGCAGAGAGACAAGATTAAAAACTTCCTCCTTTTTGTCAATCTGCATGAGAAAAGACCAACTCCTATCTGATAGAAAAGTTATTTATTTTATACTATTAAATAGCTCATGAACTTCTTGCTGAAATTTGGAGTATTTACAAAGCAGTCGTCTAATGGTACTATACACTTTCTAAGGTATTAGATTTTAGTAAAAGGACACAGAGACATTGTCTTCTAGAATAGATATTTATCACTATCCCAGTCAAGGTGAAACAAGGCCTTTGCTAACATTAGCTGATCATAGTTTATTAGAAATGCATCACTGGATTTAATTCACTTTGCAACTGTGAAGAAGCCATGTTAAAAAGGGCAAAGTGCTCAAACTAACATTCATTGAACATGTGCTTAGAATATTAAAAAGTTAAGTGAATGAGCAGACTTAATGACATTCTAAATTCTGGTGGGGAGACCTTCAAATCAAAAGAGATTTTTTTTTTTAGTGATTGCATTCATGTAGCTGACTGAGTATACATAAAGCAGCATAAGACACTTCTAAAGCATGAAGTCCACTTCAAAATTCTTTTTAATATCTTATTGGATTGCAACATTGGCACACTGAACAAATCTATGGATTATGACAATTGCTAGACTTGCCTTTTTTATAGATCCTAAAGTAAATACAATTAAGTTTTTTTACTCTAGGTCCTTCATCTGTCTGTCCTCAGAATCTGACCTAGTGTCACTATTCCCAAAAGATTAAGTTAATTCCCAAATATAGTATCTGTTTTTATAACACGTATTCTAAGCCCTAAGGGTATGAATGCCAATTTTCATAACATTAATAATGCATATTTTCCTTGCATAGTGGAGAAATTGGAAGTTCAAGGGAAGAAATTGACCTGGTTGGGATCACACAGTTAATCATCATGGGAAGAAAGACTAACTCATGTAGTATAGTGCTGGCAACATTATTTTTAATTAAAAATGGCTATTAATTAACAAACCATTTGGGTAATCTAGTATTTCAATCAGACAGTGTCATATATTTTTAGAACCCAGTTCCAGTGGGGAAACGTATTCTATGGACCACTTATCTCAGCTTACCAAAACCAAAACTAATGAAAAAAAAAACAGATTTTAAAAAATGAGAAACCAATGACACAATGGCTTTCTTCTGTTAAGTAGAATATACATTAATTTCTTCCATAAGTAAACCTCTAAGTATCTCAAAACATAAAGATTAGTAACTTAAAAGATCACCATAATAACTTTCATAAACTACTATTGGTGTTTTCTATATTATGAGATTGATTATACCTGATCTCAACTATACAAATTTGTAGTTTCTATTTGGGTGCTGATTATATATGATATAACTTCCAGTACAGGTTTTGTGTGACTTTCTCCCTTTTGATGGCCAATGTTTTGTCATAGTTTTTTTCATTAGTCTTTTATCAGAGGAAAAGTACAAGAGAAGGAGAAAAGTAAAATACACAATATTTACTTTTCTTATTCGTGAGTATTCTTGGGGAAAGAACCAAGACAAGGATGAGGTTATAATTAGAAAACAAAATGCATTCTGTGCACCATTCCGAGATATCAAGACACCTAGAAGCTAGTTAGCTGGCCTTGTAACTCTGAATTCAAAACCATGCCATAACTTTTGGGACGAGGACCACACTCCAAATTATTTCTCTGATTGAACCTATTTTTTTACAGTTATTTAAAATTTACAGTACCCTTGGGACCATGATTAAGATGGCCACCTTATTCATTTAAAATCCATAGTTTATATTCCTAAAAAACAAACACACTTTTAATATGCCATAGAATATGATAACTCACATAAAACAATATAAAACAATAACATGCTTAAATAAAGATGGTAAAGGTAACCGAAGACTGCTGTCTTGGAATGTCTGTGTGTGTGAGGCATGGGGAGAGCAAAATGTACATATTGGCTTGAATTTCATGAATAAATTCTTCTCTTTAAAAAGAAAAACAGTGGGATGTTAAGACTCTATTATTTTTCCCTGGAGATATCTGAGATGAACTACACATGTCAGTCTTGCTTGTATATAAGGGATGAATTTGTACACTACTATTGAGATTACTTACTAAATAAAAGCCTACAAGACTGCTTCCAAATCAATGGTTACTTGTGTGACACACTATTCACTGAATGTCTCTGACAAGAAATCAACACCATAGCATACAACTTAGAAGCAAATTTGGTATCATTTAGTATTGAATAGAACATTTAATAACATTCCATAATTTTTAGCAACCTTAATACATTTTATACAAATATACCATGAAAAATAATGGGACAGAAAGTGCAATTTAGGATGAATTTATAAATAAAAATCCATAGTGACAAACAAAAGACATTACATTTCACCTTTGGGGTAAAGGAATCAAACATTCTAGTTAAACTGGGAAAACTAAATGATGCATTGTGGTCACAAAGAATTTCACAAAGTAATTTCATATTTTTTAGTGATAAGCAACGTATCATGAAATAAAAGATATTCAAACATTTGTGAAATCTAGTGAGGTCTGGAGGGTAACTGAAATCCAGAAGAGAGGCAAATACCCTACCTCTTTTATTCAAGAAAGTTTCCAAAATATGTGCCTCTCCAGTTAGGGTAGCCTGGTCTCTACAAACACTCTGAGAGTTTCTTTAAAACATATTTTTAAAAATTATTTCCCCCTACTTAAATCTAGCCTTAAATTAACAATTATTTTGATTTCTTACTAAAGTATCACACACATATCTGAATATCTATACTTAAAAATATTGTGCTAAATAATAAAAAAGATTATAAAGTAACAAATCCTTTCTTGATGCCAAGCAGAAATGAAGTAGAAAAATAAAAAAATATATATATTAAGAACTCAAGTGTGACATGTCATTTTTCAACATGATACGTTACAGCTTACTATTCTCTTCTGGCACCTACCTTCTGTTGTTCCTTATCATCAGCTTTCATAGCTAGTATCAAGCTTCTAACAAATGTCTGAAGTTTAAAGTATTTTTGCTTTTGAATCTCTAGCTCATTTTCAATGAATCTGACTTCTTCATTCTGAGCGAGAAAACATCAGATAATATCATTACCTTATGAAAACCTAGGATTATATATGTTTGATGCACAGTAAAATTCCAAAAAGCAATCAAATTAGAAGGACAGTAAAGAAAATAACATTTTAGTATAAAGAATATAAAGCACAGAAGGAAATTATCATGTTACTCAAAGACTAACTTTTAAACAAATCAACAAAAGAAAACAATTTGCAAGGTCAAAAATACAATAAAAAATTCCAGTAGAAGAAATCTTAAGAAACAATTTCCTTTTGGAAAGAATACTCCTGTATTAAACCTAATTAGCATTTTTGTTAGGATTAAGAACAGGCAAAGTCCAATTACCCCAACTAAAGAGCAATAACAGATGCAGTAATACTGAATGTGCCATTCACAAAGCCAAATATTGAGAACTGAAAAGACTATTTTGTACCAAGGGGGGAATAAAATTATTACAGTCTTAAGTAGTTTGTTGAGCTCCCTGACTTTATATAGGAGTCTGTTATTCAGATAATATCTCCAATGTACCACTGTGTACCACTGATTTGACACACAGTCCCTCTTTACTATTTTGTTAGTTTCCTAAGAAAAGAACAATAGACTAGGATTTGAGAGGATTTTAGTGCCAGTTCTACTGATCACTGTGTAAACTTGAGCAGACCAATTAAACTCTCTGTGATTCTATTTGCTCATCAGTGCAATGTATATAATACTAGTAATCTTTGGCAATTCTAGGTTTGAGGGTTGTAAAGCTCAAATAAACTAATGGTCACAAAAGTGTTCTGAATAGATTTGTAATTAAAACTACAATAATCAAGAAGTTATGTTATTGCCAAAAAGGTGGACATATCTATCAAGAGAAAACAGTGTAGAAAAATACACACACACACACACACACACACACACACATATTTTCTTAAAAGGTGCTAAGGTAATTCAATGAACAAAGAAAGTTCAATCTTCCAACAAATACAACAAATAGTGTTTGAACAATTGTAAATCCATATAAAAAAAGATTATCAATTCTTACCGCACATCATATACAAAATTTAACAAGAAATGCACAAACCCTAAAACTATAAAACTAGAGAAAAACAGGAGAAAATTTTTGTGTCCTTGGTGTAGGCTGTTTCTCAACGGCACAAAAAGTCCTCATCAAAATTAAAGCAAACAAACAAAAACTCTTTGCTCTTCATTTTTTAAAAATGTTTATTCATTTTTGAGAGAGAGAGAAAGAGAGCAAGCATGGAAGGGGCAGAGAGAGGGAGACACAGAGTCTGAAGCAGGCTGTCAGCACAGAGCCCTACATGGGGCTCGAACACACGGACCGCAAAATCATGAACCAAGCCAAAGTTTGACGCTTACCAACTGAGCCACCCGGGTGCTTCACCTTTGCTCTTCAAAAGACATTGTTAAGAAAATTAAAATGTGAGCTACATATTGGGAATCACAATTTACATATTGTAAATCACACACCTGATAAAAGACTTGTATTCAGAATACATCAAGAATGCTTACAATACAATTATAGGACCATCAACAGAATAAACAGCGGGAAAGATATTTGAACACACACCTCATCAAAATGTGAATGACCACTAAACATGAAAAATGCTTGATATAATTTGTCATTAAGGGAATCAAATTAAAACTGCAATGCATACTACAATATCTAAAGTTAACCACCTCACACTGGTCAGAGTGGCTAAAACGAACAAATCAGGAAACTGCGGATGCTGGTGAGGATGTGGAGAAACGGGAACCCTCTTGCACTCTTGGGGGTAATGCAAACTGGTGCAGCCGCTTTGGAAAACAGTGTGGAGGTTCCTCAAAAAATAAAAAATAGAGCTACCCTATGACCCAGCAATAGCACTACTAGGAATTTACCCAAGCGATACAGGAGTGCTGATGTATAGGGGCACATGTACCCCAATGTTTACAGCAGCGCTTTCAACAACAAATTATGGAAAGAGCCTAAATGTCAATCAACTGATGGATAGATAAAGAAGATGTGGTTTATATATTCAATGGAATACTACTTGGCAATGAGAAAGAATGAAATTATTCCATTTGCAGCAACGTGGATGGGACTGGAAGGTATTATGCTGAGTGAAATAAGTCAGTCAGATAAGGACAGATATCATATATTTTCACTCATATGTGGATCTTCAGAAACAAGAGAAGACCATGGGGGAAAGGAAGGGGGGAAAATAGATACAAACAGAGAGGGAGGGAGGAAAACCACAAGAGACTATTAAATACAGAGAACAAACTAAGGATGGATGGGGGAGCAGGGGAGAGGGAAAATGCGTGATGGGCATTGAGGAGGGCACTTGTTGGGATGAGCACTGGGTGTTGTATGTAAGCCGATTTGACAATAAATTATATTCTTAAAAAATAAAGTTAAAAAGACTGACAATAGCTAGTGCTCATGAGAATGTGGAACAATATGTCTCATACATTGTTGGTGGGTTTATAAAACAATACAGACATTTTGGAAAATGTTTTGAGAGTTTCTTATAAAATTACACATTATCTTTCTTGCTTACCGTCTGATGTAGCAATTTACTTTTAAGTATTAACCCAAGGTAAATGAATACATGTGTCCACAAGAAGATGAATAGTCATAGCGGCTTTATTCATAATAGCCCAAAACTAATAACAACACAAGTGTTCATCAGCAGATAAATAAACATATTGTGGTTGTGGTTACACAACTGCGTCCACTTGTCAAAACTCATCTAACTGTGTAAAGAGGTGAACTTTATTGTATAGAAATTATATATCAAAAACTTTATTAAAAGTATTAGCTATTCCTCTTGCCAAAAAAAAAAAAAATAAGCTATGAGTGTTTTCTGTAGCTGGAGAACTGGTGTCAAAGAGCACAGCAGGACCATTAACAGTATATGTTCAAAAAGCTGCATAAAAGACATTAAAATTAGTTAGTTCTATGGTCATTCTTTTGTTTTAATTGAGAAGATACAGTTATATTAATCGCATTCAAAACTATGAGCTGCATCAATTATTTTATCAGCAGAGTTTAGAATTTACTGTACCTAATAAAACTACCTCCCTTTCAGACAATTTAATATCAAATGCATCATCTGCAAATGATTATTGAATCTAAAGTCCTTATTCAAAGGCACCCTACAGCAATCTGAGGTACAAGTAAGCATTCTAATAAAATTCAATAGGCATCTTCTATATTATATTTGACTAATTCTAAACTTATTTTTTTTTAGTATTTATTCAAGATCAGTAGTATTACTAAAGTGCTGACCAAGAAGTCTTCATATATAGGAAATGTAGTGTCTCCTTTGTTTTTTAAATTATTTTTAATTTACCTTTAAATTTAAATTTACTTATTTAAATTCAGTTAGTTACCACACAGTATAGTATTGGTTTCAGGAGTAGAACCCAGTGATTCATCACTTACGTATAAACCACAGTGCTCATTCCAAGTGCCCTCGTTAATGCCCATCACTCATTTAACCCAATCCCCCACTCACCTCCACTCTAACAACCCCCAGTTTGTTCTCTGTATTTAAAAGTCTCTTATGGTTTCCATCCCTCTCTGCTTTTATCTTATTTTTCCTTCCATTCCACTATCTTCATCTGTTGTATTCCTTAAATTCCACATATGAGTGAAATCATAATTGTCTTTCTCTGCCTGACCTATTTCGCTTAGCATAATACATTCTAGTTCCATTCGAGTTGTTGCAAATGGCAAGATTTCATTCTTT